AAATGGAGTCAATTACACAAGACCTCTAAAAGTAACAAAAACTGAGAGATTTTCAAAAGGGTACTCTTATGCATGTGCTCAAATATTTAAGCTTCCTAGGCTTCTGGCAAAAGACAAGCTCATGTCTTTGGCCAAGGCCTTCTGTTTAAGCAAAGGCAATATGATCATTTCTACTAGCTCCAGATCAAGGTAGTTTATCCTCTCTCTTGTATTCTACTTTCAGTGGTATCTAACTTCTGCTTAGGAATGCTGTGAGTCTTCTTTCTGTACAGAACTGATTCACTGATGTTCACCCTCTAATTGGACTGGCACCTGCCCACTAGTACACATAGCCCCTAATGCAGATATTACCTCAAAGATCAGTCCTTAACTGCCCACTATAGTGGCAATTCAAACAGAGGGCCACCAAAGGATTAGGAATAGCTACAGGTATAGATACCTATAGGAAAAATAACCATAAGACTCTCTGCCACTTTTCAAATGAAAAATTAGATTCTTTATCTTTCCAGGGTCCCTGCTGACATGCCTATCACTGTTCATGTTCAAGTCATGCCTTCAAAACCAGATTTATCTCTTCCAGGATAAAAATCAACCAAGTGTGTGACCTGAGTTCTAACCCTAGTACCAACAAAAATACAAATAAGTAAAATATAGATGAGATTTTTTTTCCTGCTCACTCATTAGTTTAGTTTCCTCGTTTTTTTCTTTCCCTATTATGACAGTGATGGTGTTCATACTTTTTATGTCTTTTTCGGGGTGGGGGGCTGGGGTTTGAACTCAGAGCTTCTCACTTGGAGATGCTCACTACTTCAGCCTCACCTCCAATCCATTTGCTCTGGTTGTTTTGGAGACAGGGTCTGAAGAACTATTTGTCTTGATCTGTAATCCTCCCGATCTCAGCCTCCCAAGTAGGTAGGATTACAAGTGTGAGTCACAGATGCCCAGATACTTTCTCTGCCTTAATTGGCACTGTGTTTGTGACTTCTGTTCTGATCCATGTTGATAGCTCTACTTCAACAAACCCTGTCTGTTTGTTGTTCCCTGGAATGACTAAGCCCTAATTTATCTGCCCTCTATCTAAAAATTCAAAATGTTGTTTTCCCCTGAAATCTTTTATATGTCATCTTGACTGCATTTGTGAGAACTTTTCTAGAGTGTAAACACTAGAATGAATATCTAGTTTATCCAAACTACCCAACAGGGGCTGCAAATTCAAGTTCATGCTCTAGGTGTCATGCTTAATATCCAAGTATTATCTTGCAGCCTGTGAGAGAATCCATTACACAGTACTTTCTAAGTCCTTGGTTTTAAAACATTAAAAAAAAAAACTCTCTTTTCCAAATTGAAAGAGAGATATTTTTCACATTTTTTTATATTTGAAAATTTGGGGCAAAATTTTTACATTTATCCATTCTTGGGACATTCTCCTTTGTAAAGACTCAATCTACCTATGCTTTGCTCAGTTTTCTGTTCCTACTTTTTGTTTCTAATTTATGAACGGGTTAATAATTTCATATAGTAAGAAAATCAATCCTGGTGCTGGTCAGTTATGCCTATAATCCTAGCTTCTTGGGAAACAGAAATCAGGAGTATCACAGTTCGAAGCCAGCCTAGGGAAATAATTCACAAGACCCTGTTTCAAAAATACAAAATAGAAAACAGGACTAGAAGCTTAAGTGGTACAGTGTCTGCACAGCCAGTGTGATGACTTGAATTCAAACCCTAGTACTACTGCAAAAAAAAAAAAAGTCAGCAGAAAATCTGCTATGTGTTTTTCAAGGTTTTTCCTGAGCTTCAAGTACTCCTTCCAATTTTGTTATATTTCTCCATGTAAACAAATTTATGAATTTTTTCCAAACTTTTAAAATTATTTTTCTTTGTATCTTCTGGATTTGACTTTGAAGACACCCTCACACACACACCTTTTTCTATGATACTGGGTTTTGAACTCCAGGCCTCACGCTTGCTGGGCAGACACTTGAGTCTTTCCTCCAGCCCTGTTTTGTATCGGGTATTTTTGAGATAGGGTCTCATGAACTATTTGCCCAGGGCTAGGTGATACTCCTGATCTCTACCTCTTCAGTAGCTAGGATTACATGCCTCAGGCACCCAGCTGGACCTCTTTTCTTAAAAACTATCTTATTAACAAACCTATTGAGGCATGGTTTACATACCACACACACAGTTTGTGTATGTAAAATGCCAAGATTTTAATAAATTGATACATTTCTTCACCTACCACATTGTACTTTCAGAATCTTACAGCTCAATCCAATCCCACTTTATGCACCAACTGCTGTGTCCTCACATTGACCTCTATGCCTACTTCGTGTAAATGGAGTCACATGACAAGTAGCCTTTTCTGTCTGGTTTCCTTCACTTAGCACACTCTTTCTGAGGTCCATCCGTTCTGTAGCACTTACCATCACTTTGGGCCTCTCTCAGATTGTACTGCATCACTGTGAATGGTATTGCATTGAACACCTACAGCATGTGATGTTTATCCATTTAATGAATGTCAGGAATGTGGGTTGTTCCAGTGTGGACTAGTATGCCTAATGCTGTTCTGAACATCGGCACACCTACTTTATGAGGACTATTTTCATTTCCAAGGAGTAGAATTCATGGGTCTTATGGCAAACAGGTGTTTAGTTGTGTAAGAAATTGACATTTGTTTTCCAAACCTGTTGTAACATTATACACTCCCACCAGCAAAACATCAAGATTTTGTCTTCAAATAATTATAATGATGATAATGATCACAATAGTAGCATCAGTAATAACTCTTGTACTAATTTAAACTTTCTTTGAAACCTATTCCTCAGAGGTCTGTTTTGTTGCATTAGTAATAGAGGATGTCAGTATCTTGAAACTCTCCAAGTGTCTTTTGTTTGGGAATGGGTGTGGCACTGGGGTTTGACCTCAGGACCTATAGCTTGCTAGGCAAGCACTCTACCACTTGAGCCACCTCCCTAACCTTTTTCCTTTAGTTTTTCAGATAGAGTCTGATACTTCCCTAAACCCTCTGCAAGACTAAGTCCTACCTCAGTTTCCCTAGTAGCTGGGATTATAGACAATGTACCACACCACTCACCTCTCCATGTATCTCAAACTAAATCAGAATGGCTTAAATCTAATTGTCCTCAGTTTTGCTAGTGTATTTAATCAACTGTTGCAGCAGTTTGCTACCTGAGATAAGAGGCTCTGAGGCAATTAGCAGGAAGCAACGTTTTATTGTGCCAGCACAGGCTCAGCAGTCCAAAGGCTGAGGCCCGAGGACAAAGGGGGTCTCACCTTATATACCCTTGCAAACAGGTTACAGAGGCAATAAAATTAAAAAATAAGGTTTAACCCATATATGGTTACATGCAATGCTATAGGCTACTTCAGCCTAGTGCTAGTGCCCTTCTACCCCTAGTGCTATGTGACCTTCTTCACCTTTGAATTCTTTAGGTTCTCTCTCTGCTATGCCATCCCTTCACCCCGCTACCTTATCAGAACTCAGGCCTCATTTATTTTCTTCTGATCCTCCTCCCTGCTGCAAACAATGAATGAATAACAGGTGTCTTTAGAGTACAGAAATAAGTTTTATTATCTTATAAAGCAAGTTCTTCATTATATTTCTTTCAAAAATATAACTGGAGGGGGGAGAGGGAGGGGGCAGAGTGGGTGATAAGGGGAGAAAAAAGAAAAAGAAGAAAAAAAAGGAAAAAGAAAAAAAATATAACTGGAAAATTTATCTTCCTTATAAAATTCCATACCATCATATTAAATTCTAAAACAATCTTGTTTGTTGTTTTGTTTCATTCTTATGAATGGCTAGCACACAATACTCAATGTTTCAAAAAAAGGCTGCATGCGATTCAGAATGCTTATCATGAATCTGTATCTCTTCATGAGAAATTACATAAGGGGCATCAAGAGGCATCATTTCTATACCCTAAAACTATTCTTTTCTACTACATCCAACATTTTTTTTCCATATTGAGGTTTGGCACAGGGCTTCAAACTTCCCAGGCAGGTGTACAATAAACAGTTTCCTTTTCCTGCTTTTAGAAATTGTGAGAATGTGTCATGGTAAGTGCTCTTGTACCAACTCAGGCAAGCTGACATGCTGTGAATGATTAAGGAATGAGCTATGAAGATCCAGCATCATTGGACATGTCACTGACCTGCTGACTGAGCAGCCTGTAGATGTATCTGGAGCCAGACGCTGAGACAATAAGGAGTCATAGAAAACTAAGTCAGTTATACTGCATTTCCTGCTATTCTCAGCAAAAACCATCTACATTGGAATATTTGTGCCTTATTTTTAATTCTACCACATAATGCCACCCCGCATTTTCAAATAAATTGAGACAACTCATTTCTTCATTTCAAGGAACAAAGCCAGAAAAAATTTGCAACCCTGGGATCAAGCAAAACAGTCATCAATGCCCACATATCAAATTCCAATAAGAAAGTCTTCAATGCAAGAATTATGCATAATAAAACTTAAAATATGGCTGAGACAAATTCTAAATTTCCTCAAAAGTACCAGGTGACTCTGACAGTTTGAGAAATTGCATTAAAATGCATATTCAAACTCGATAATTTGACCTAAATTTGGGACTCTTTGGATGGAATATAAGAGCAGAACCTTCAACTTCTCAACAATTCATTTCCCTTTCTCTGAAACCCATACAACTGCCTGAATAGCATATGAGTGAAGTCTATGGAGTTTAGATTCAGACACTGACTTGCAGTTATAGTTATGCAATGTTTTAGGGAAGGGCCCAAAAAAGCTTTGATTTACTTTTCTAGCTTGATTCAATCATGTGCTTTTTGATTGTATAAACTGTTATAAGTCTGTTCTGAGATTTTAAGCATTGTCTTTTAGATTTTAATTAATTTTTTAAATTATCTTAATTGACAAGTAAAACATATGCACTACCTTATATACTTCCCATATGTAAATGAAAAGAATTTTTGTAATATGATTTTCTTTTTTCAACATGTTGTCCTTGAAACTGTGAAGCAAGTAAGGTTTCACTCCATGTTTATTTGAGAAAAATGTAGCAAAACAATGTGGCACAAGATGACTTCAAATGCACAGTAGACAGTAAGGGTTACATGAAAAGGGGGTCGGGGAGAATTAAAAGAAGGTGCTGAAGTCAGTACTGGGGCTTCCAGAATGGGACAGGAGCTGAAGAAGCCATCACAGTGGTCATAATCAGTAGTCTCTGAACCAAGAGGGAGCCAGTTCCTGAGAACACATTCTCACCACGGAGGAATGAGAGTCAAGCAAAAAGCATTTTCATGACATGGAGAGGCAGGGAGAGAGGTCTTCCTTCTGTGCTGTCACCTTCGCTTCAGCTCAGGAGTCCTGAAGAACACAGAAGACAGTGGTATTTCCAGATCTACCTATGAACATGACTGATTTCCCCCCTTGCAGGGGGAAAATATAGTAGCCCCTTAGTGTGTCGAAGAGGGGTATTTGTTCCTAGACCCCAGTGAATCCCTAAATCCCCAGATGTTCAAGTCACTTCTATAAAAATGGCCTTGTATTTGCATTTAGCCTGAAAACTTGAAGTCATCTGTAGGTTATTTATAATGTTATCTGACCTAGGACAAAGGGTTTAATTTGGGATCCTAACTCACTGGATTCTGCCACTCACTCACCCTCCCATAGCACTGCAGTAAGAAGAGAAAATCCTCTCAAGTCTCCCTGAGCCAGAGCTACTTCAGAGCCCAACTTTTTATTAAGTTCAGAGAAGAGCAGGTGTGTGTTGTGCAGTGGTAATGCACCTGGTTTACATGAACAGGACCTAGGTTTGATTGTCAGCACCATATGAACCAAAACAAAACAAACAAAAAAACCCCAAATTTGAAACAGTAATAAAAAAGAAAAGTTCAGAGAACAATGTTCAGTGCAAACTTCTGCCTGATCAGAAATTTGAATTCAAAACCTTTCCCAGTACTTCTGCTTCATGTCTTGCCATCTTTTGTAGGAAAAGCAAATCTGCCTCTGAAAGAGGATTAAAAGACACTACCTGTTGGCTGAAGTCCAGAGTGTCCTGCAAAAGAGGCGAGAAGATACACAGTTAAATACATGAAGACCAGTCTATCCCTAAACAAAATGTCCACATTCTTAGATCTGCCACCTGAGATTTGTCTAACACAACCCCACACCAGCCAGGCAGAGCTGGAACACAATAGGGAACAGGTAATCCAGGAAGCTTCTGTTACACAAATCCAGTGGCAAGTAGGTCTTTTTGAAGTTCTCAAACCAGTATATCCCTAACTTTTCCTTATCTCTATAAGACACAACCCCTTCTGCTTCAACACAGTAACTATGGGCAGTTGATTTTAGAATTCCCTTCATATCTGAAGTCATCTTAGAAAAGAAAGGCTTCACACAGGTTCACTGATACACTGACAACTATCCTCAGCAAAGCCACATTCCTTCTCCCAGAAATGTTTATGGGCCATGAACCTTAGCCACCAACATTTTTTTTTTCTAACCTTTTGGGTTCTTGAAGTAGATGAACAGCCCCAACCCAAGGAAGAGCAGACCCAGCACAAAGCCCCCGACTCCACTCAGCATCTTGCTCTGTGCAGATCCAGACTGTGCCCCTGAAAGTAGAAACCAGGATGAGTGACTTTTTTTTTTTAACCACAAATCTAACTTTTTTCATTGAGACCCTGAACTCACAGCGTTGATACAGGGGAAGAAGCCTACATTAGAAGAACTGGGTTTCACCATTCCTGGATACAGGAATTAAAATTCACACTGAACAACCATTCATTTCCCACAATGAACTCATTTAAATATCACAGCTGTGAAATATCACCTGATGTGTGGAGAGACTGGAACTCAGTGAGGTTACGAAGGATTACAGCTAAAGAAAGGTACAACAGAAATCGGGCTTGTTGGAGCAAAAGTATGGTCATCTTTAAACTAGGTAGCCAGGTCAAGGCTCACCCTCTGGCCCACCCTACTCTGCTATTTCTGTCACCTTACATTGCCTTCTATTTCCCTGAAGTAATTTCCTGCAGCAATTTTTCATTTCTCTTAAGTGAGCAGCCAACTGTCGGTTTCCATTAAGTGATGGAGTCAACCATCCTGAGCTGAAAGAATCAACCTTCTCCCTAACAAACCCATGTTAACAATGAACTCCCATACACCAATTCCTGAAAAACAGCCCTTACAACTATATAAAAATCCCAAGCCTGTAAGAGGTGGTACCCTGGTTTTCTTTCTCTCTGACCAGAGTCTTCCTCAGGTTCATCCTGAAATAAACCTGCCTCTGCTGTAGAGGCAAGCCTCCTATTTCTGTCTTCTTTCCTGAACACGTTTTTCCCGACAGGAATTTCCTCAAGTCAGGAAGGACGATGCATTGCTTCTCTTCTTGGATCACAATGAACAACTCAGCAGCAGTAGCAGGACAAACACAAGCCTAGCTCTGAGACAGAAGTTGGAGTCAGGACAGAGGGGGTAACCCTGATCTCTGTGGTCACAGGAAACTTTAAAACTGTGTCAGAAACCTGGAGCCAGTGGCTCACGCTTGCAATCCTAGCTATTCAGGAGGCAGAGATCAGGAGGATTGCAGTTCGAAGCCAGTCCTGGACAAATAATTCACAAGAACCTCTCTCAAAAATAGCCAATACACACAAAAAACAGGGCTGTTGGAGTGGCACAAGTGGCAGAGTGCCTGCCTAGCAAGCAAGAGTCCCTGAGTTCAAGCTTAGTACACAAAACCAAAAATAAACAAACAAAAAACAGTGTCTGGTAGACATAATTACTTTCCCAAGGGCATAGGTGTTTGTAGAAACAGCACAAGGCCACCCCCAGTGACCCCTGCCAAAGGAGAACAAAATGAAATAAATGAAAATTCAGTATAGGGAGAGAAACCTGAAATTTCAGCACAAGGACAGAAACCTAGCACTTAAGAGTAAGCCTGGTCTCCTTTTCCATGGTGTGTGAAGAATCTGTAAGTCAGGGAGCTTCTCACTCACTCCACTCCACTGTGACAGGGCTCATCAGGCTTGGGTGCTCCACGTGGCAGGTGTAAATCTCTCCACTCTGAGGAACTGCTTCCAACATCACCAGGGTCTGGAAGGTCCAGTCTCCATTCTGGATCAGGCCTGTGGACACGACTCCGGCCTCCTCCTCCTCCTGGCCATTCCGGAACCATCTGACCTCGATCTGGCCTGGGTAGAATCCACTCACGGAGCAGACCAGGAGGTTGTGGTGCTGCAGGGGCTGGGTCTTTGTGGGGTACACAGTGACCTTAGGCTTAACTAGGGGAGAAAAGACAAAGAAAGCAAGTCAGGAAGGCAGAGTAATCCTGCTTGGTCAGCTGCCTCACTGCCTCTGTCCAACCCCATGTTTAACTCCTTGCAGACTTCAGGCAAAGGGTCCCTAGGAATTCAGGGAATTGAAAACTTCAGCTCCAGCTCCCTACTGGAAATTCCATGCTGGCAGTAAAACTGGCCCAGCCAGACCTCTAAGCCAGGAGAAAAATTATCTTCCAAAATCACTGGGTAATTGGAGCCTATGATAAACTTATATATGTACATTTCCTAGCTTTTATTTCACCTTTACTATAAATTATATCAGTCCTATGTGCTAGGCAAGATAGACTGAGAATTTCTTTCTCCCAAGTTTTGCACAATACTGTAAATTCATTTTTCTTTAAACATATATATATATAAAATGCCATTTTGTCTCAATTTTGATGAACATTTGGACCCAGCACCAAGCCTTATGCATTGGTGCTCCATATGTTGCAGGAGTTTTGGGCCCTAGGTCTAAATTCCTGCGTTCCATAGTTCAGGCACTTGCCCCTATATGCCCAATAGAGACAAGTAAAGGTGGATGTCAGAGAAAGGAAACTTAATTGACAGGGCATGGGCAAGTTGCTGGAAGAGGCGGGTTATGCATTTCAATCCATCTTCCTCATGCAGACTTTTGCTCTGGGTTTAAATAGAAGAGGAAGAATTCAGGGAAGAGGTAGGCATAAATATCAAGCAGTCCCAGTCACAGTGTGTTCTTGTGTTCTAGGAGGCTGACAGAAGGGATCACTGTCTCAGGATTGGTCAGGTGAGGCCTTGTTAATAAGAGTCCTTGCTTTCTGGCAGGTGGTCTGTCCTGCAGAGGCTCTGCTATTCCTTTCCTTGGTAGTAGTTTTACTTGTAAAGATGTTATCAGTCTGTCCTTCCTAGAATCCAAGCTGATTACGAGGGCGGTAGAGAGAGAGAGAGATTCAGAGTAAAAGAGACAAATGCAAAATGGAGACAGGGATAATAATCTTATACTGCTTTTAGCTAATTCCTGAGCTCTAAAAGGGAGTCAGTGCTTTTCAGCCAAAGCAACTTTTGAGTACCTGTTGCACAGGTACATTCATGGCTGGCCAAGGGGCCTAACAGGAGCCTGGGTCATAAGTCCTGTGTTTAATCTCTACAGCAAGGACACAGTAGTTTTGAGAAATGCTGAGGAAAGATTTATTTCTTAATGTGTATTAATTGTACAAAGGGGTTTCATTATGGTATTTCCATACATTCATATAATGTATTTTTCTTTATTTTTCACAATTTTTAATGAGTTTCATTATTCTATTAATGATATGCAGCAGCTAGAAACAAGTAGTGGCCTCGAGAGAAAAGGAAGGAAGGAAAGAAGGAAAGAAGGAAGGAAGGAAGGAAGGAAGGAAGGAAGGAAGGAAGGAAGGAAGATCATTGTAACTAAGCTTCCCAACTCCACAGGTAACCAGTCTCTGTTAAGATCAAGTAACCAGAGGCCAGGAGACATTACAAGAAGCTTTGACTTTAGCCACTCACCTAAAGTTTAATCTTTTCTTTACTCAAGAGTAATCCATAGCCTAAACATCAGCTAGGCCTGGGGCTGACAGTTTTGCATGGGTAATCTCCTTCTTTTTTTTTTTTTTTTTTTTGCAGTACTGGTATTTGAACTCAGGGTCTACACCTTGAGCCACTCCACCAGCCTCTTTTTGTGATGGGTTTTTTTGAGATAGGATCTCGCAAACTATTTGCCCAGGCTGGCATCAAAACAGTGATCCTCCTTATCTCTGCCTCCTGAGTAGCTAGGATTATAGGCGTGAGGCACTGGCACCTGGCTTAAGTAATCTCTTTAATATAACAAGAGGAAGACCTAGACCCTAAGAGCTACACCCTAGGCATCTGACAGAGCAGGGACTAAATATTTCATACATGTAACTAAAGACCCAGGCCCCAGAACCCATCCTAGGGACCAAATGGACCTGGGGCTGAGTTCCTCAACAAATATTTCAACTCAAAATCTGACGTTTTTCTCACTCTAGAGGTGGCCTGTTTTCAGTATATTGAAAGTCTATTCCTTTTCTAATAAATTTAACTATGACTTTCACTGTATTTTCACTTGAATTCATCTCTTGCTAGGCAAGAGAACTGAGATATTTACCAGCACTAAACCTTCTAATAACATCAGGATTCCAGAACAGAAGGGAGCATTTATCCTACAGAAAATTTAAACCTGGTAGATTTACCACTGTTTATCACCTAGGTCAAATAAGGAGACTTGGCCTGTGGGACTCCCAAATTTATTGTTCAAAAACATAAGATGCAATTAAAGGAGTGCTGACACAGGAAACGATTAATCTGCCAGCTGATTCAAAAGAAAAAGCCTGCACAGAGATAAGAAGGAAGCTATGATAGGTAGTAGACAGACATGAGCAGTGGCCACTAGAGGAAGAAAATTATTATAATTAAACTTCCCAACTCCAAGGGTGACCAGTTTCTGTTAAGATCAAAGTAACTTACAAGGTCATGGGATGTCACAGGATGCTTGTAAGCCTGCCACTCATCTAAAGCTCAATCCTTTCTTTATGAAGAATAAGCCAGACCCTAAGCATCAACTTGGTCTGGGGCTGGGAATTTTACACAGGTAATTTATTTAATTTAACAAGATAAAGACCCAGTCCCAAAAGCTGCACCCTAGACATCAAATAAACAGGGAGCTGAGAATTTCACACAGATAGACCAATAGCTGAGAAATTCACAGAGGTAATCTCTTTAGTTTAATAACACAAAAACTCAGGACCATAGGCAACATCCTAGGGATCAGATGAACCTGGGGTTGAGAATTCATCAATATTCTAGCCCAGCTGATACTGTTGTTCTCACTCTAGAGATGGATCCAAGGCAGGCTAGAAATAAAAAAAGATTGGGACTCTTAAATGTATATGACTTAACATATTGCATCAGAATGAACTTTATCTCTCTCTCTCTCTCTCTCTCTCTCTCTCTCTCTCTCTCTTTTCTCTCTCTCAACCTGTTTCAGTTGAAAAAAAAATTTTTTAACAGCCACCAGGGCTCCTTTTCAACAGAAAATGTGTGTGGAGTGATCCATCATCACCCTAACCCAGGAAACAACCCCCCCAACCCCTGGCACCCATTCACCAATTATTGGTGATCAGAAACTGACCAAATTTTCCCCCTCACACAAGTTATAGTTTAAAAAAGCCTTGAAATCGAGAGCCTACCCCTTTTGCTGCTTCCATCCCACCTGCCCAGAAGGGGCCTCACCATTGCCTTTTGTAATGCCAATCCTTAACCTTTAAGAAACTCTATTACCTCAGTATCCACTTGTAATGCGTGAATGTTTCCATGCTGGGCACAAAGAATTTGGAAATCTTCTGATCAGAGACTGCAGGAGCCTACAACACACTTGCTTTGAGTTTAATAAAAGTGTACTCCACTCCTAATAAACTTAGCTACCATTTTCATGTCTTGCCTGAATTTTTCTCTTGCAGGATGCAAAGATGGATGTAGCTATGAGTGATACACTTTCCAGTAACACCTAGAGGCCTGTAGACTTATAATGTGCCTTACATTTAGGACTTGGCGTGCTTCTCGTGCTTCTACATCTCCCGTCTATAGCGATCTGCTTTGTTTTCCTGCTTTTCTGCTCTGCTAAATAAAATGTCTACACACTTCTCACCTAGTTGGACTTGTCCTTAAATTCTTTTCTGTGATGATGTCACAAACTTGTTTGGCATGATGTCATGAATACAAAAACCCATGTCATGAATTTGGCAACCAAGAATGAGGTTGTGCTCTCTTGGAACCTCCTGGGCTTGAACATGTCCTGGCTCTGGTGAGGTGACATGAGATGAAAATACTAAGGGAAACAGCTGCATCTGAACACATGTAGATTTTTTTCTCTTGTCATTATTCCTAAGCAAGCCAGTACAACAACTATTTACTTAACAATTACACTTTATTAGTTGTTATACTACCTGGGCTCCTTATATTACAAATTTTTAAAAAATTAAAATTGTTTTTGTTTTTTCTTTTGGTTTTGTTGTGTTTTGCTTGTCTTGGTTTTTCAATTCCAGCTCCCAACAGGAAATCTTCACCTGGAACCTTGAGGCTTTCAACGAATCTCACAAAATCAGGAAAACAACAAGCCTCTCTGCTGGACCCAAGGCCACATCCTGTATAAATTTGCACATGTACTTTATTTCCTAGCCTTTGTTCTACCCCTCCTATAAACTGTGACACCTCTCTGGGTTCATGGAAGGACACATTGTCTGCATTCCTGGATTGGCCAAGTTATGAATGGATAAATTCATTTAATCTTTTCATCCTTTCTCTTATACCAGGTTGGAGTAGGTAGCAGAATCCAGAAGTTAGGACCCAAATTGAGGCCTTTGTCTTAGGCCAGATAAATTATGAGTAACCTACCGATGACTTCAACTTGAATATTTGAGGATTTAGGGATTCCTGGAGTTCAGGAAGCAAATTCCCCTCCTCCACACACTAAGGGAACACTGTACTTGGCAGTGTTACAGTTGTACAAAGAAATAACGTGCAGCTACTTAAATACTATTAACAAAACAATGGAACATCAGAATGGTAAAAAAACAAAATTATAAGTTAAGGGCCAACATGCCATCATTTCAACTGTGTAAAGTGTACTAAGATAGCACACAAACAAAATTAGTAGAAATTTATACATGAAGAAAACTAAGAGTTGAGCACTGGAGCACCTATAATCCTGGCTAATTGGGAGACTGAGGTGAGGAGGATAGAGGTTTGAGGCCAGACCAAGGCCCCATCTCCAAAATAACAATAGCAAAATGGACTGGGGGTGTGACTAAAGTGGTACAGTGCCTGCTTTGTGATTAGGAAGCCCTGACTTCAAGTCAGAGTCTCACTAGAAAAAAATTAAAAAGAAACCTAAGAAAGGTCAGAGGTGCCTCACAGGTCACAAGCACACCCACCCACCCTCAGACTCACACATGCAAATTAGCTGATACTTAAATCTTATTGCTTATGCAAATAACACAGCACAGTTTATTTCAGGGTGACTTCAGGATTAAGAAGAGGGTGTGCAATCCTCACACTGTCCTAGCCATTTACAGCCCTCTTCTCTCCTCCCCTAAACCAACCTTCAATCCAAACACAGACAACTAAACTTCTCTTCCTAGTTACCATTCATCCTCACCCTCCACAGGGGACTCCAAGGGCCCTGACCCCACCTCCTGCCACCCTCATCCCTCTTCTCCTAGGCCCTCATCTACTCACACACTCCAGAAGTTTCTGGGTCACTGGGACACACACTTCGAACACCTGAGGACACACAGACACAGGCTCTCCGGTCACCATCACACACTGACAAAATCCCGTTACCTCAGGACACTCAGAGTGTCTTCCTTTTGTCAAATCCTTCCTATTCCTTTACACTCAGCCTGGCCATGCAGCCCAGCGCTCACCTCTCCTCTGCACAGTGAAGCTCTCTACAACCCCGTAGTTGTGTCTGCAGTAGGTGTCCACCGCGGCCCGCTTCTGCTCCAGGAGGTCCTTCTGGCCGTTCCAGTACTCGGCGTCGGGCCGCCCCAGCTCGGTGACCGCGCGGTACTCCCCGACGTCGCTGTCGAAGCGCACGTGCTCCTCCCGGTTATGGAAGTATCTGTCCAGAAACCGCACGCGCTCCGTCCCGTTGGTGAAGTAACATTCATGTTTAACTTCCTCCAAGAAACGTGCTGTGGGAACAGGAACGGTTACTGGATCCAATCTTATTTATCATTGAGGACTGGGTACCTGAAGGCTCAAGTTCCTCCTCAGGAGCCCAAACCCGCTGGACCTAAAATGGCTGCCTGAGTGCTGCAGGCGTCCTCTACCGTCACATGATGGCGTCTGCACGCATAACACACAGGGCAGTGTGTGACAGTTGACTACTGCTATGACAATGCTATGAAGAACCATAAAAGGAGAGAAAAGGATTGGTGCTCAAATCCAGGGAAATCTCCTCTATTCCCAGGAAAGGTGGAACATTTCTCCCTTAATTAGCCTACTCCTTTCTTCATTTGTCCTATATCTGTAATTCCCAGTCCCCAGAGGTGTTGAAGGGAGAATCACCCATTTCTCCTAGTCTCAGTTGTGAATAAAACTCACTCTTGCCATTGCTTCCACAATTCCAAATGGGAAAAATAACTCAGTTTGGGATCAAAAACTGGTAACAGAATGATTCATCACATACCAACCAGAAGAGACCAACAGGGACACTCACTATGTGGTCACCTCCCCAAAATTCAGCACCCAGTGGGTTCATCTTTCATATCCCAAAGGCAGAGGAAGCCCAATGTAGCTGGGACTCCCCTCATTTCCAACGCTATTATGGACCCAGTGACCCTCTGCTCTGTCTGCATTAGGGACACACTACTGTCAGTGCTGGGCAGGGGACCAACAAGTAGGAGCTGTACAAAGTTTTGCCCCTCAACACTGCCTGCACCACCTCCTGCTAGAGGCTCTACAAGAAAGACCCCACTCCTGACTGTGACCACAGCTCTTAACCCTTTCCTTAAACAGGACTCATCTGGAACATTCTGTGAAATCTCCCTTACCACTGACCATGTGCCAGGACTGTGCTGCCCTAGACAATCCAAAGAGGGAACAGCAGACACTTGCCCTCAATTCCTGGGGCTTAAATTAGTGACACTGAGGGACAAAGCCAAACACTCCAGAAATTATCCATAACAAGACATGTCAAAAGAGATGTGTAGAGATCTGTCAACAGAACAGGAGGACAACCCAAATGAAATGGCACCAGAGTAGGACCCTAAGGAGTCACATTCAAGATGTGACATGGAAGGTTAAGTTGATGTGAGCCAGAAGAAGAGTATGGTATATGCATAGGTTTGGGTGGAAAGGAGGTGAGACAGAGTGATGGAGAGGACAGGAGGAGAAATGATTTTTAAAAAGAACTGAAATGTAAAATAAACCTTTATACATTATGTTAAATTCATTTCTGCACATAGAACTTAATCTCATAGAAATCCCACAGAAAACTGTAAACAGCCCTATTAAAGCATCAGACTCTTTAAAATATGTTAAAATGTCACTCTCCACAACAAGCATGTTCCTGTAGACTAATAGTAACTATGAGCTTTCTAGTTTGACCCTCACTATTTGAAGTCACACAGTGTAAGGACAGGAATCATCAGGGTAACACTCAAAAAGAGAAACTTCAGATAATAGAGTAGGAGTGAAGTTAGAGCAAATAACTGAGGAAACAGAGGGTCAGTATAAAACAAAATCAATACAGTTCAGATTCCCCAAATTAAGCCCAAACACACACACACACACACACACACACACACACACACACACACACATCTTGTTAAAGATAGGATGGCATGTTTCTGTTAGGTCCACAGCCCACACTCAACTTCATGAGGGTGTCCTGTTCTTTTTGGAGCACTGGGGTTTGAACTCAGGGCCTACACCTTGAACCACTCCATGAGCCCATTTTTGTGATGGTTTTTTTGAGCTAGAGTCTCACAAACTCTTTGCCTGGGCTAGCTTCAAACCTCGATCCTCCTGATCTCTGTCTCCTCATTAGCTAGGATTACAGGTGTAAACTACCAGCATGTGGTGAGGATGTCCTATTTTTACTAATAAATTTGTTTAAATCTCAGGTCTATCTTGTCCTTAAATTCTTCTCTGCAGTCACAATGACTCTCTCTCACTCTCTCTCTCTCTCTCTCTTCCCTCCCCCCTTTCTTTCTCTCTCCTCTGTCTTGTGCACACAGTCACATGCTTGATGGGCACATTTTAAAATTATATCAAGAAATCAGAAGAAAGAAGCCCAATAAAAATTGTTCAAAAAAGAAAAAGCAAGGGGGCATAAGAAAGAGTAGTAAAAGGGTTGAATCTGACCAAAGTATATTATATGAATGTATGGAAATATCACAAAGAAAACACTTTGTACAATTAATGTACACTAATTTTAATGGGAAAAATCTTATAAAAACTTACATTGGTAAGTTTTTATAAGCGATTTCAAGCAAAAGTTGACTGTTCTTGGATGTAATAATGCTGACCCCAAACCAAAGGGGCAATGAGTGGAAGAAGCCAAAATCCAAGATGGCTGAGAGATGTATTTTTTCAAAAAAAGAAAATATGGACAGCCAGAGATACATATCCTGGCTGGATCAGTAAACAGCTTGTATCAGTGGCTTTCAATCATTACAGGTAAGCTGGACCCTGAGAAACCTGTAAAGAGTTGTCTCTGTACAACCACTCCATGTACCACTTGCCAAAAGGGAGGTTCGAATTTTTTTTTCACTTCTGATATTTGAACTCAGGATCTAGCACTTGCTAAACATGCACTCTACCACTTGATCCATGCACCCCATCTTTTGTGCTTTAGTTATTTTCCAGATAGTATCTCATGCTTTCTGTCCACACCTGCCTCAAACCAGGATCCTCCTACCTCTGCCTCCTTGTAGCTGGGACTACATGTGTGAGCAACCATGTTGGTAAGGATTGGGTTTTTAATGTTCCCCAGTATGACATCTGTATTGAAATATTGTCACCAAGATTCTTGTCCCATAAAGAACAAGTACAAATAGTTTTTAAATTCTATGCTTACTGCACACCTATGCCTAAATGCACATCTTTCTGAAGGAATCAGGTGCTGGAGCTTATTAGAAAAATAATAACTAATAGTTCAGTCTTAACAAATGATTGACACAAGTGAGGGATGAAGCTCATGTTTACAAAGGAACTTGAAGATGAAGATTGGGGACTACTAAGGGAGGTGGAAGAGGAGGGAAACAGGATATGTGAGGGAGGAGAAAAAGAAGGGCAAAAAAGGGGGTGAATATGAGCAAAATATATGACACGCATGCCTAGAATTGTAAAGATGAAATCCTTTATTATGCTCAATTTATTACAGAGCAATAAAAAAGTTACTTTACAAAAACAAAAAGATTATTCAAACTATTATGTCACTGGCAATAAAATTACATAAATTTCAATATGTGATAAAAGTTTATCAGATTAAAATCTAAATAAGTCAGAGGAAACAAAACATAGATCATTAGCCATGAGGCCCCTGTGTGTCCAGGCAGTGAGATGTGGGGTACAAAACTGTCCCTGGGTGGAAACATGGTACTGGGGACCATGAGAGCAGAGGGCAAGATGACCAAAGGCGACATGGTGAGAATTGGGATCAGCTACACTGTGGCCTTGACCATGGGTGTTCACCATAGAGACAGAGGTAAGTGAAGCCTCCTTACAGTATCCTCAGAGACAATGTAAGGACATTGCGAAGTCATTAAAGAGCAATGACTTCACAGGGCCTGCTGCTTTACCTTTGTGAATCCCATCCATTGAAACCAAGAAGTGCTCGACTCAACTTGCTCATGATTACACTAGTGACCCTGACATTTCTATGATTCTGAGTTTCTCTAGCCTTCAGACATACTGGATATGGTTAGGTATTAGCTTAGGGTTGACTCCATATAAGTCACAAATGTGTTCGAAGTTTTACCATATTCACAAAATTTTTTCTTAAGAATAATGTACTAGAAATAAAAGGAATACAAATAAGTAAGGAAATAGTCAAAGTATCTCTATTTGCAGATGATATGATCCTATACTTCAAAGACCCAAAAAAACTCCACCCAAAAACTCCTAGACATCATAAACAGCTTCAGTAATGTTAACAGGGTACAAAATCAACTTACAAAAATCAGTATCCTTTCTATACACCAATAATGAACAAATTGAGAAAGAATATAGGAAAACAATTCTGTTTACAATAGCCTCAAAAAAAAAAAAAACCAAATACCTAGGAATAAACTTAACAAGGGATGGAAATGACCTCTACAAGGAAAACTACAAGCCACTAAAGAAAGAGATCGAGGAAGACTACAGAAGATGGAACAATCTCCCATGCTCATGGATTGGCAGAATCAACATAGTAAAAATGGCTATACTACCAAAAGCAATCTACATGACATTCATTACAGAGATTGAAAAATCTACAAAAAGGTCATTTAGAAACATAAAAGACCATGAATAGCCAAGGCAATACTGAGCAAAAAGAGCAATGCTGGAGGTATCACAATACCCACTTCAAACTATACTACAGAGCCATAGCAACAAAACAACATGGTACCGGCACAAAAAGAGATAGGAAGACCAGTGGAACAGAATAGAGGACCCAAATATGAATCCACACAGCTATGCCCACCTTATTTTTGACAAAAGTTCCAAAAACATACCATGGAGAAAAGACAGCCTCTTCAACAAATGTTACTGGGAAAAGTGGTTTTCTGCCCCAGTGATTATCCATCTACCTGAAACTAGATCTATGCCTGTCACCCTGTACTAGTATCAACTCAAAGTGGATCAAGGACCTAAATATCAGACCCAAAAGAGCAGGGAATACTCTTCAAGCAATAGGTATAGCAAGGACTTCCTCAGCAGAACTCAAGCAACCCAGCAACTAAGAGAAAGGATGGGACCACATGAAATTAAAAAGTTTCTGCACAACAAAAGAAATGGTCTCTAAAATGAAGAGACCACCCACAGAGTAAGAGAAAATATTTTCTAGCTATACATCAGACAAAGGACTGATAACTAGAATATACGGGGAACTTAAGAAACTAAACTCCCCCTAAATTAATGAACCGATAAAGAAGTGGACAACTGAACGAAACAGAACTTTTTCAAAGGAAGAAGTCCAAATGGC